TAGAGGTAAATGAGAACTCTGATATAACTTATCAAAATGTATGGAACACTATGAAGGCAGTGCTAAGAGGAAAGTTCATTGTATTAAGTTTATTCATTAAAAGAAGAAAAAGCCAACAAAAAAACCACCTGTCATCTCAAAGTCCTAGAAAAAGAAGAACAAACCAATACCAGAAGTAGTAGAAGACAGGAATAATTTAAATCATGGCAGAAATCAATAAAATTAAGACTAACAATTCAAAAAACTGACAAAACAAAAAGCGAGTTCTTAGAAAAAATAAATCAAATTGACAAACCCTTACCCACCTGAATGAAAAGAAGGAGAGAGAAAACTCAAATTACTAAAATTCATGATGAAAAAGGAAATATCATGATAAATACTATTGAAATACAGAAGAAAATTAGAAACTATTTTGAAAATTTACACTCCAGTAAAATAGAACACCTTAAAGACACCAACAAATTTCTGGAGGTCTATGATTAACCCAAACTGAGTCAAAAAGAGATACACAATTTAAACAGATCAATTTCAAGCAAGAGAATAGAAGACCCAACAAGAGCCTACCAACCAAGAAAAGCCTGGGACCAGATGGATTCACAGCTGAATTCTACATGACCTACAAAGAAGAAATAATACCAACACTCCTCAAATTATTCCATGAAATAGGAAAGGAGGGAACCCTTCCAAACTCATTCTATGAAGCTAGTATCATCCTGATATCAAAACCATGCAGAGACACATCAAGGAAAGAAAATTTTAAACCAATGTCCCTGATGAATATTGATGCAAAAATTCTTGATAAAATTCTGGCTAATCACATATAAAAACATATTAAAAAATAGTGCACCATAGTCATGTGGGGTTCCAGGGATGCAAGTTAGTTCAACATATGGAAATTAATAAATATAATTCATCACATCAATTGACTTACAGATAAGAATCATATGATTATATCAATTGTTGCAAAGAAAGCATTTGACAAAATGTATCATGTTCAAAACAATATGAAAACTAGGTATAGTAAGAACATACCTCAACATTGTAAAAGCTATCTATGCTAAACCCAAGGCCAACATTTTTCTAAATGGAGACAAATTGGAAGAGCATTCCCTCTAAAAATTGAATCATATGATTCTTATGTTGAACAAAACTTGTATCCCTAGAACCCCACCTGATCATGGTGCACTATTTTTAATTTGAGGAGTATTAGTATTAATTATTTTCTTAATACTGTTGTATTTTGGATGTATCCACATCCATATATAACAGCCAGCTTCTTTGGTAAATGTTGTGTTATTATGATTGTTCCACTGATCTCCAATTCCCCCATTTCTATCCCTTTGTTTGCACTTCTCCTATTCCCTGAGACCAAACAAATTTGAAATTAGACCAATGAATAGGCCTATAATGAACTTTAGGAGTTCAAGTAGAAGGAGGATTTGTAGGTCTCTTACTTTAAATCAAAGGTAGACTTGAGACTTAATTTAACTTGTGAGCAAGTTCTATCAAAAACTGAAATAGGAAAAAAGTTAGACTGCTTTAACAAATAGTCAACCTTTGTAAATGCAAAGGGAAAGTTTCCCAAAGAAACTCAAAGGGCTAATCCAGTTAATGCATGAAGGACAAGTATGGAAAATAGCTTTATTGCTAATATGGGGCAAGTTTTTTTTACTGGTCTCCATAGAAGAACAAACTAGTTATAATGTTGCCTTCAATCAAAGTCTTTTCCAGAGAAAGCACTTAACTCTCGTCAGTTCTGTGAAGGATGAGAGATGGGGAAGATGCAGAGGAAAGGTATGAAGCCAGCAGAGGTTGGTTCGTGAGTTTTAAGGAAAGAAGCTATGTCCATGACATAAAAGTGCCAGGTGAAGGAGCAGGGGCTGAGGTAGAAGCCTCAGCAAGATATCCAGAAATCCCAACACACTTGATGAAGGTGGCTATCTCAAACAACAGATTTTCAATATGGACAAAACAATCTTAAATTGGAGGAAGATGCCACCTAGGACTCAAGAGAAGTTTATGGCTGGCTTCAAAGCTGCAAATGACAGACTGACTTTCTCTGCATTAATGAATAACAGTTAGTGATTTAAGATGAAGCCATTCTCATTTGCCATTCTGAAAATCCTAGGGTCCTTAAAAATGAGTAATTCCTAATTTACTCAGCCTTTGTTCTATAAAACAAACAGAAAAAGGATCAAAGAGATCCTATTCATATATACGATAGTTTGCTAAATTTTTAAATTTACTGTTAATATTTGCTGCTCAGAAAAGATTTCATTCTAAATATTGCTACTCATTGACAAACCTGAGCCCCTAAGGGTTCTGATGGAGATGTACAGCAGATTTTTATTGTTCTCATGCCTAGTAATACTAAATCCATGCTTTATCTGATACATCAAGGAGTAACTTTTTTTAAAAGACAGATGAAAAGCACCCCCTCTCAGAAAAGTATACACTGAGTTCCAACATGGGCTTCACCTATTCATGAACCACCTGTGCTTTCATTTTCTTTTGTAAATGATAACAACAGTAGAAGCTCTCACTGTTTTGGTCACTTGTGTCTCTAGTAATTCCATAGGCTGAGCATATGGTACATATTTGACATGTATGAAAAGCAAAAGTATTGCTATTAATAAGATAAGGATAAATTTTGCAAATTCTTAGTGTCTGACTCACAACAAACACTTTACACAACTTAGATATTTCTTTTCATTAACATAATCTATATTATTTAACTCCATTATCTTGGGGGAAATAAATTTTGAAAGCATCAATTTTTGCTTCTTGTCAAAAAAATGACAGGAAGAATATTATCTTTGAATTTTTTTTCCTAGGGGAGCACATGGTGCATCTAACACTTATCCATTATCCAGAGGAAAACAGATTTCACAAGTTTATTGCATATGAACTTGTGATTTAGTTGTCTTGTGCTTCCTGACTCTTTGAAGCCTGGATTCAGCAAAGCTTAAAATAAGCCTTGGATCACGGATTAGTGACTCTTCTTTTGGCCCACACCTGCTTGATTCTTTATAGTCTTTTATCTATCTCACCTCTCCTCTATCCCATCCCATAATTTCCATCTCTGCTAAGATGAATGTAGTTGTTATTTTTGGTATTTTTCACCCCAGCGGGGTAGAGCATTCCTTATATTTTTATCACATTTAGACACACATTTGTATTCATTTTCTGTCCCCAATCAATGGGATACAAAAAGTGAGAACTTTGGTTTTCTGTTAAAAGAAAATGAGAAAGAAAAATACCTTGTGCCTTGCATGACAGAAAAATACATTGTGCCTTGTGTGCTATATAGAACAATTACACAGGCCACTGACCTGTATATCTTTAGATTCCAGTATTGGCATTTAGAAAAAATTGATTTCCTTCAGTTTTATAAGACACTATGAGGATTGGACCTCTGCAAATTCTTGAAAAAAATTGGTAATTACATGAAAAAATAAATAAAATTGATGACTTTTTCTCAAATTTGTTTTCTCATTGTAATGATATTGGTTCCAAAAGTGTTAAATTACTCATTTAAGGTATGAATAAATCTTAGTTATTATAAAGGTTTGTGGTGCACAAAGCTCTACCCTATTTGACAAACCTTATATCTTAGTATCTTTCTCATTGGGTTTTCTAGACTGGAGATGTCGCTACCTGGTAGAGTACTTTCCTAGCCTCAGCAGGGCTCTGGATTTGATCCCCAGCACTGGGAAAAGAAGTCACTAGGCTTTCCTTCATATGATATGAAAAGCATGCATGCTGAGATCATGGAGATAAGAAAAGTGTGTGTAAGATTAGTGCTCCAGTCCTGTGGCAAATAGATGACTGGGGTTGGAGGACATCTTGGGTGGCTTGATCTCCAAGTTACATCCTGAGAGGTGGCCTCCCTGTAGGGATGGGCTGTCATTGTCTTCCATATATATGCTTTTTATGTTTGAAATTCAATACTTACTAATGTGTTGTGGGCTTTGAGAATTAAATGCAAAGTTTTATAACTTATTATTTAATTCAATTAATGTTAATCAACAAATAAATAATTATGTAGTGAACTGAAGAGTAGGCAATAAAAATTGTCTAAATTATATCCAGCAAAGAGCAAATTCAATAAGTTTCTTATTGAAGATAAAACAAAGTACAACCGAAATAAATGTTACGAAAACAATTTTTGTAGCTTGTAGCACTTAACTGATTTTTAAGTATTTCATTATGTTGCTATTATTATATTTTTATAAAATGTTTATTTGCACATGAACTTGATACATACAATTTCTGTAAGTTAGTTTTATTAAAGACACTCAGTAAATTTATTTGGAAAATTAAGTTCAATGCCAATAACTTTTCAGCTTAACTTTTAGCTGAATTTTAAAAAGACATTTGAAACTCTGTATTGAATATAAAGTTAAATTCAACATTTAAACTTAACTTAAAAACTACTCATATCTAGTGGGTACATAAATACATAAGTAGTATATCTGTTATTAAAATTTAATGGGCTGAGTGTGGTTGTGCACACCTTTAATTCCAGTGACTCTGGATGCTGAGATAGGAGGATCACAAGTTCCAGGTCAGCCTCAGGAAATAAGTGAGGCTCTAAGTAACCTAATGAGACCTTCTATCAAAATAAAATAAAAGAGCTAGGGGTGTGGGTAAGTGGTAAAGCTCCTCTGGGTTATATCCCCAGTAACTCCCCACACCAAAATTAAGAAATTAATAGAAATTTCAGTTCAGAATATAATATTAAAATGTGGTCTGAGAGCAGTTGAAGGGTAACCAATAATGAAAAAAAGGATTGGAAACTCTCCTCTAAACACATGTTGCAAAAGCATAAAGGAAAGCAAAAACAGAAGTAGAAAGTTCTGGGGATGACATTCAGAAAACGGAAATCATATTGGTTCCTATTTAAGACATAGGAACAAGTCAAGGGCTTCAGAGAACCTAGAGGCAAAGGTGCAAGATCACCCATCTCAAGCAGCCCAGCAGCATCTGCAAGATCCCCAATGGCCTTGCCCTTGCCTTTCCTGCTGGCCCTGGTGGTGCTCAGCTGCAAGAACACCTGCTCTCTGGGCTGTGACCTGCCTCAGATACACAACCAGGGTCTTGAAACTCCTGAGAAAAATGAGGGAGGGTCCCTGACACTCCTGAAAAATATGAGGAGAATTCCCATTTTCTCCTGCCTGAACTACAGAAAGGACTTTGCCTTCCCCCAGGAGCAGTTGGAGGGTGAGCAGGTGCAGAAGGCTCAAGCTGTTGCTGTCCTCCATGAGATGACCCAGCAGATCTTCAACCTCTTCAGCACCCAGAAGGCCTTTGCTGTTTGGGACAAGACCCTTCTGGACACCTTCCTCAGTGGCCTCTATCAGCTGCTGGATGACCTGAAAGCCTGTGGGTCCAAGCAGGTGGGGGTGGAAGAGGCTGTGAGGAAATACTTCCACAGGATCACTGTCTACCTGAAGGAGAAGAAATACCTGCCTTGTGCCTGGGAGGTGGTCAGAGCAGAAATCATGAAATCCTTCTCTTCATCAGCCAACTTGTATGGAAGACTAAGGAGCATGGAATGAGACCTGGTCCAGCAAGGAAATGCTTCTCACTGATGAACACAACTTACCACACTCCCACAAGTTCTGCCATTTCAAAGACTGTTATTTGTTGCAGTAATTCAGAGAAGAATTCAACCAATTTGTCAAATCTATAGGCACTAGACCCTTACATCCTTGCAGATGTTATCTATTTATATATTTAAATGTTATTTATTTAACTATTTATGAAATTTTATTTATTTAATCTATAATATACTATGTATACCTTTACAATATGATTAATAAAACCAATCATTTCTTTATATTTAATCAATTGATTTTTGTTCTTCATTAATTCCTTCTTCAATTTTTTAAATTCTTTCAATCTTGCAGGAGGATGGGAGGTTAGGTAAATATTTCTTTTCATTCTCTCCCATTTTTGTGTTAAGCAGCAAAATTGAAATTTTAGTTCTAAATGCTGATTTCTTTGTTACGCTCCTTTCATGCACATCATTATATTTGCATTTTCCCATCAACTTAGTTGTGATACTTTCCGACAAGTTGAGATTTAAAAAAATCAACAAAATCTGGATATTATGAAATCTCACCCCATATAAAGGGAAAGATAATGGGATTTCTCTTACTCATCTCTCCTCCAACTCCCATGGGGTTACCACTTAAATATTATTCATCTCTCACTAATTATGCCAATTCCATCTATTTTCCTCTGCAGTGATGCTTTTAATACACACAACAGCTGACATATCTGGGTCTGGGAGGTGGTGCATATTAGTGGGGTACCGTATTATGTTTGGTGCAAAGTTTAAATCAAGTTAAACATGCTCATCTCCTTGAACATTTATCACGTCTCTGTTGTGAACATCTGAAGATCCCTCCCTCCAGCTTTTCAAATGGACAGGAGGTTCGTGCTCTGAACAGTCACCACATCCTGCAATTGCCCACCAGCTTCTTGCCCCTTTCCACCTGTATTGGGGAACCATTGATCAGCCTTTCCCATCTTTCCCCACCTTCTGATCTCTGTGGCCTCTGGTAAGCACCATTCCACTCTCAGCTTCTATGAGATAATCTTCTCCCTATTTCACTCCTGAGTGAGATCGTGTGGCACTTGTCTTCCTGTCCAGCTCATTTCACTTTACATGATGATCTCCAGTTCCATGCATGCTGCAGATCACAGGTTTTCATTCTTGTGTATGCATGTGTGCGAGTACATGCACATGCACATATATGTCTATGAATAATATATCATATAGTATGTAATATATAATTTAAAATATTAGCATAATATATATGTATATATACATGTGTTTGAAACACTTCATTTGTGATTGCTGTGACACTCCTCCTTGCTCCATACTTCCATGGATCCTGTCATGTCACTCCCAAACCACAATAGTTTCCAACCTCTCTGGTTCAGAAATCTCCTTTGTCCCTGGAGTGGTGGTGTGTGCCTGTAGTCCCAGAGGCTCCAGGCTAGACAGGAGGATGGCAAGTCAGAAGCTGGCATCAGCGACCTAGCTAGGCCTTAACCAATGTAGGGAAACACTGCCTCAAAATCAAAAAGTAAAAAGATCCTGGATGTGACTCAGGGTTTAAGTAGCCCTGGGTTCAATCTCTGGTACCAAAACAAACAAACAAACAAACAAAACGACTGTGATGTCCTCCTTCATTTTCATTAACCTGCCTGTGTATACATCTTTTTTTTGTGTGTGTGTGTGTTCTGTTAGGGTTTCCAGCTGTAAACTTTCTCTGAAATTGTATGCAGCCACCAACTGAAAGCAATGGTTAAATGAAAGTTCTAGGTTTTCCAGAAACCTCCAAGAGAAGTTTTAGTTCCTCCTGGTTAATATTTTTGGAAATAAAAGCCTGTAGTTATTACAGTGGTATAAGAGTAGTTGTGACACAAATAAACAAAGAGAAAGCATGATTTGTTTTACTGTGGAAGCGATTAAAATATTGACAGAAGAAGACAGAAGCCTACAGGCCAAGATGGACAGAGAAAGAGTCCAAGTCTGGCAATTAAGCTTCTGTTCTATGCATAATTCTGCGTACTGGCAAGACCTTTTTTACATAGAGCTAAAATAGGCTGTTCTCCTGGGAGGAAGTGACCCAATATTGGAAGAGTCCATTTCCTTAACTTTTCATCTCAGAGAAGGAAAAGACTCCTAGCTCCAGGCAGGTAGTGTCCTCTTTGGGCAAAGGACAGGTTTGTGGGAGAAAGGGTCAGAATGTTTCACTTCTCTCCAGCCTGATCAGCCTTCCAGAGTCTCCTGGCCCTTCAGTTTCTCTGTATCCTATGTGATGCTAGGAGCCAGGAGAGCACACCTGAAGGGAAATCAGGAAAAATCTAAGTGGCTAGTTTTACAATTTTACTCCTAGTATATTACCCAGCATGACTTTATAGTAGAGAGAAAATTATTTTCTTGGAAGGAGGGATTGAAATCAGGACACTTTACCACTGAGCCACAAACCCATCCCTTTTTATTTTGAAACAATGTAAAATTTGCCAAGTTGCTTAGGGTTTCACTAAGTTGCAGAAGCTGGCCTTGAACTTGCCATTTCTTCCTTCCTTAATTTCCTGAACCACTGGGATTTCAGTGTGTACTTAATGCCAGATAAAATTCTGTCTCTTTGAATAATGACTTGGAAGTCTTACTCCACCTTGATTCAGGACTAAGACACAGCAAGAGCCAATTAAAGAGTTTTTAAGGAATGCAGAAATAGCCTGGTGACAGCCTGTGGAAGAATCCATTGGGAAAGACTCTGGGAAGTTTAAAGAAGTCTGAATAATATTGTTGCTTAAGAGGATGATCGAAATTGCCTGTAAATTGCTGAGCTAGCAGAAAAGGGCTTGGAGGGAGGGAGGGATCACTCAAACCTTAGCTCATATCACAGACCCAAACTTTAGAGTTCTTCTCTCCAGATGAGAGGAGGGAGGGTGGGATACTCAAAATTATATTCATCTTGAGGGCTTCCTTTCCCCCTCCCCCGTTCTCTCCCTCCCCGTCACTCCCCTCCCCACCCCATGGGGAAGACTGCCAGCATTTCATTGGAGGGTTTTTCTGCCCAGAGGAATCCAAGCCACCCTAAGTCTCACCCTCTCAAATAATTAAGCCACCCTAAATCTTAATATCTCAAATAATTAATAAAAAATAAAGCACAAACACTCAGAAATATATTTACAAAAGTGAAGCCTCTGATAGATCTCGTCCACATGGGTTCTTGAACTAGACAAAGACAAAATGGCTCCCATAGTTTATTTAAGGGGGTACATCAAAGGTAGGGGTAAGATTTCAAGGGCATAGTCTTGCTTTGTGATGTCTTGCATCCAGCAGGTTGATTGACATCTTGGCAGGTCACACCCTTCTCAGGTTCTGTGTGGGATCTTAGGCAGAGTTTGAGGGGGAAGTCCACCTGTATCAGGCAGTCAATCCCTGTGGGGAATGCCCCAGGGAGTTCCCAGTGCCAGACTTAGCCTCAGGAGGCTACTATGCTCAACAATCCACACATAACCCACAGAGGGCTTGTGACAAAATCAGTCAATCTCAATATCTCTCTCTCTCTCTCTCTCTCTCTCTCTCTCTCTCTCTCTCTCTATCTCTTTCTCCCCCCTCTTCTCTGTCTCCGATTGCTCAACACCTTTCAACATTATTTCCTGTCCATCCTTTGATTAATTTTTAATGTTGTTTACTTCTTTAATGTCATTTTACTTCTAATACTTTCACATGTCATGCTCCCGTGCAGAAAATTGCACAATTAGTCTCTGAATTCTCAACTTACACTGAAAAGTCTCCGGAACCATCTTTCTGACATATCCAGATGTCAATTTATTATATAGTGGAAAGTGTTGGAAAACAGATAAGAAAGTGGTGAAGCTGGCAGCCAAAGGGTTTATCTCAGCCTGGGAAACAGGACTAGAATAGGACACAGGGAGCCTGCTTGGTCCTACCCTGGGTGCCTTGAGCAGTGGCAGTTCATGGTAACGCATGAGCTGGAGAAAGCTTGTGTGTATAAGAAGTAAGAGGGAGAAGATGGCTGCACCTCAACCCTCCCTGCCTGCCAAGCCTCACACTGCACAGGGCAAGAAAGATATTCCACAGACAAAAACCAGATGCCAGATCCTTTGGCATCTCAATCTCTCTGCTGTATGGATTCAATGTCACACTTTTCTTGGTTCATAAATCAAGTCCATTTCTGTTCTTTCAGTCCTTAATAGGACCTTCCAGACAAGCCATTACCTCAACTACCCCTGAGGTGCTAACCTTGGATCATTGGTGAGTTTGGAATAGTTCATCTCTCCAGATTTATTTTTGTCTCCAAGGAGCTCTCTAGATGACCTAACACAAATAGTGTTAATGGCAAGTAGGAGTCAATACTTTCAGAGATCTTAGTCTATAGTCAGGCTACAATAAATTTTGATGGTAAGACTGAAGACTAGAACTAAAATTTTTGAGACCTTAGAGCTTCCTTCTTTCAATTCTAGGTTTCTCAGGGCAGACTTTTCATTGTCTTAGTAGATTATGACCAAGTTGGAATGCACAGCCAAGGTCAACATCCACAGTCCTACCAGACTCGATGAGTGTGCTAGTCCTGGAGCCTGGTGGCCAAGCTGCTGTTGATGGGGTGACTCCCCTCTCTTCTCCTAAGGGCTTATCACATCTGGATTAAATGAGAGAACAGTCAGGCAGTCCATTGAGTGGTCTTTGAGCCTCTGTCAGAAGCAGACATTTCCCTGCCTTGGGCACCTGAGCATTGGCCCTCAGTCTTCCCCTCTGCCATGTCCCTGGGGCTCAATTTGGCTGCATTGCATGTGGCTAAGTTACACTCTGCCACTGGTCAAGGGAGAGTCATTTCCTTCTTTCACTTTTATGAAATTACGACATCATTTTTTTCCCATTTTACCCACAAACTGTCTAATTTTGCTTTTTAGGAAAGTTGAAATGAGAAATGAAATCTGATACAGAAAAGCAGTGTAGCCTTTCACCTTTCTTCTACTTTACATTATTTGTCTGACTTCATGATAA